AAAAAGGGCAATTACAGACCCATCTGCCTACTTTCTAATTTGTACAAGATTTACACCAAAATATTGACCGAAAGACTAACAAGACAACTAGATGAAGCGCAGCCAAAGGAACAAGCAGGTTTCAGAGGCCAGTACACCACTACTGATCATATGCACACTGTCAACCAGCTCAAAGAGAAATGTCTCGAGTATAACATTCCACTATGTGTAGCATTCGTTGATTATGAAAAAGCCTTCGACTCAGTAGAAACCCAGTATATACTGGCATCCCTGCAAGATCTAGGGATCGAAGATGGATACGTAGACGTCCTCAGAGACATATACACCGATAGCTCTGTAACAGTCAAACTACACAAGACCACCAATAAGATCAGGATCAAGAAAGGTGTACGCCAAGGAGATGCAATCTCTCCTAAACTGTTCACAGCAGCATTGGAACGTATATTCAGGGATCTAGACTGGCAGGACAAGGGCATAAACATAGACAGTACCAGGCTCAATCACCTTAGGTTTGCAGACGATATCATAATAGTAGCAGATGATGCAAAAGACCTCGAAGAAATGCTACAGGCGTTAGCAGATGAAAGCGCAAAAAGTGGGCTTAAGATGAACACCAGCAAGACAAAGGTGATGTTTGGACCACTAACCACCCCTTGCACAGTGAAGGTCAACACCAAAGAGATAGAAGCAGTAGAAGAGTATATATACCTTGGGCAACGGTTCAGCCTTAGTGATCGAACACTGGAGAAAGAAATCCAACGAAGGATGAAAGCAGGATGGGCAGTATATGTGAAGCACAATGACATCTTCAAGAGCAACCTTCCTGAAAAAGAAAGTGTTCAATGCTTGTGTGCTGCCGGCAATCACCTATGGTTCAGAGACCTGGGCACAGAATGCCTCCATGGAACACAAGCTGCAAGTAGCTCAGAGAAAGATGGAAAGAATTATGTTGAACATCAGTCCAAGAGAGCAGAAAACGAATGTATGGTTACGTGAACAGACCAAAGTTAAGGACGTACTGCTCACAGTTAAAGAAATGACATGGAGGTGGGCAGGACATGTCAAAAGAATGAAGGACAATAGGTGGACAATCAGGCTTACAGAATGGACCCCAAGGTATGGACAAAGAAAAAGAGGAAAGCCGGTCAAACGATGGAGGGATGAATCAGATGACTACTGGAAGTCTTGGAAGAAGAAACCTTGGCCAAACTGGAAATCTGAGGCTCAGGATAGGAAACAATGGAAAAAGCATGCTGAGGTCTTTGTCCAACAGTGGAACACAATAGGCTCTAAATGATGATGATGATGAATGATGATGATAGATATAAAACAGCATATGAAGCACTTTAAGCAGGGTGGTATGGACTTAAATACCACTTTCACACCCTCAAGCTATCTAAATTAACAGGATTTATACCAACCTCAACACTAAACACGTGCCGAATCAGTGGATAAAATACATACAAATTTCAATGACAATTAGCAATTATGCACCACTTTCCGTCGGTGAAAGGCGCGTGAGTAGCATGTGATTGTGAAGTCGTGTAAATAGCGACAATATTTTCTTCCTGACCAATTGTACATGTGGCGGTGTCTGGAAAAAAATGAAACTGAATAGAAAAAAAACCTACACCAGGAAGAGGAATAACAGAATACATAAGCTTCACACAAAGCTGGGGTAATTTATATTAGAGAAGTCACTTGGAAGAGTGAAATCATAGGTTAATGCGATGGTTAAAGTTGTAATCCGTTCACAGAGGTGGCTTCAATTTAGAGTTTCAAAATTGTACTCTTAAATTGCCGGATATTTATATTTTAAAACGAGTTAATATAAACGTTTTCGCGCTCTATCTTCCATTCTATTTTTTCATCAACGTATTCGACATTTCCACTTTAGGCAAATTTTTTAACACTTCATAAAACTGTACGCACAAAAGAAACGAAAAAAAGGCTCGTTTTTCATGAATAACTTAGAAAAATACTGTACATCTTCTCTTGGAGGATATACATGTATTTCATGCTCCATTTTAGACACCATTCAAATATCATTCCAGCAAAACATGCACGTTTCGTCAGTTTGGTCATTATAACTCTTTAAAGGTAATGTTAACACCTTGACATTTAATAAAGCAGTAAGCATATTAAATCATATCAACGCCTTGTAGAGCTTTAACCATACCGAGATAACCAAGGCACTGAGGTATTTACTCAAACATTGAGGTCAAGCGCATACGATGTGCTTCTAATCTTCACTTGATAATCAGTCGCCAGTTTGGAAATCAAAGCGAAAGCACTAGCTTTACTTAACAGACGTTACTGGCAGCTAGTAGACGTTGAGTCCAAGACCTGTACTGGTATGTGAACATTTCTAACTTAAATATCAAAATTATTTTCAGGATGGGATGCATTCGGTCAGTTACGTAAATGGGGGGGGGGGGGGGGGCGAGTTACGAATCTCATCTGTAGGTTTAATTCCCTAGCCCTTCGAATTCGAGATTTTATGCTACTTATCGCAGTGAATGGTTTGTCATCTTGCTGTCGTGGTTGAACAAAATACTTCTTTAAAATGTCTCTTTACAGATTCTGAAATTATCCAGAAAGAAATGGAGGTAGTGAAGATAGTGAACTATTTTTTCATTTTCCTCGTGTATCAATTGAACTTTTCAAAAACACAGGCTCAGGATGTTTCACTTAACGTGGACTGCTTCGAAGGTTCGACCTCTTCCCACTGTCAATTGAATATGACAGAAGAGAGTAGACAACAAATCAACAGCGTCTTTGCAAATAACAACACCCGGTTTGTTCGCTTCAATCCCATAGTTCGACCATATTACAGTGATGAGTTCTGGCGTAATAAAAACAGAGATGACAAAATTGGCAAATATTTTTGGGTTTGGGCTGATGGAGACACTGGCAGACGATATCTGTCCTTACGATACAACTTTGTGGAGATGTCCTTGTGGACTCTTTCACCCGGTGTAGAGAAAATTAACATTGACTTACACGAGGTACAGCAAGGTTGTTGGGGTATCTTAAACGTGACTGAACAATTCTGCACCATAGCAGCACTGTTTCTGAACACAGTTCATGAAAAGGCTGTTACACAGCATCACCTTCAGAACAGTGTTGTTTGTTATAATACACTCGATTTAACCAATTACACGTTAAGTAGCTATCAATGTTCAAGTGCTTCTGATGTGCCAAAAATTCATTTTTCTTCAGAGGAAAGTAGTATATCAAAGTTTAACGTTTACAAATGGGTACTGATAGCCATTGCCCTTTACTTCTCACCATTCATATTTGTTTCGTTCCTTCCAAAGCGATTTACAGTTCGATTTTCTCCAGAATGGCTTTGTAACATGGGAAAGTTTGAAATCAGTGGCCCAGAAACAAAAACACCCCTCAGTGAATTGTTGTCCTTAGCCCCAGAAGACTGGGTGTCCTCCATTATAGTGGTGTTTTTTATATACCCCTTTGCACATATACCTATCTTTTACGTGGAATATATAAACATGAAATACTACACGGATTGTACACACGCTGTATCACCTTTTTTTTGGGTGTCTTTTGGAATTGTATTCATAGTAACGCTATATCGTACTTGGATTTCTTCAGAAAGTTTTGAAGACTGGAGAAGCTTAATAAAGTCTATTTGGTATTTTACGAATATAGTATTTACTGGGCTTCACTGGATGTGTCCTTGCGAACGGGTGACTCCTGACACAGAGAAGCTAGATTTTGTCTCAAACAGTCTTTTGGGTGATTACATTTCACTTCAGCATTTAATAATCAAATTCCTATTAAATGCAATCAACTTCATAAAATTCATAGGTATTCATTTGAATATTAGACGACATACCTGTAAATCCTTCTGTATATCTTTCCTTGTAGCGTTTCTAGGTATTTTAGTCGGATTACCCATTTTTTTTATTTTATTGTATCTTGACATGATGTTAATTGTGATTAGATGGTCACAACACAGCAATGCTAACATCTTTATTCAGTTATTTATTTATATCCAAACACTAGGTTTTATATTTTATGTCCCGTATGTTTTTGTATTGTTTGTAGCTGACTTGATTTCAGTAGTAACTCTAACATTAGTCGGTGTAATTATAAACCACGACATTGTATTGAAGTACATTACATTAATTTTATCCGTGTTTTACTACATTTGGGAGCCGTTTCATGCTGTACAAAAGAAGTACCGTGAATTGAAAGCTATGATATTTAAAGAATGCTCAACAACTGGTCTGAAATACATCAGACATGCTCCAATTCATACCACAGACGGTTCAGACTCACACGTTCAGCAAAATTACGAGGTGTTACCAATGTCGGATTTCGTTATCAATACAGATACTTCAGCTAGGGCATCTCTCCTTCAAGATAACTCTGAAAAGGAAGTCTGTGATTATGGAAACGTACAAGCAGCCAACAGCCAACAATCGCCTACTCCAGAGCAAGTCGGACAACAATACATTCTGTTATACACATCAGATGACAGAGGTTGGGAGCGCATCCCTAAAGACTTATGGATGTCCATTTATAAACAGCTGCTTCCTCTCGACGTATGCATCGCAAAGGCATGCATTAACTCTATTGCCGCAGTTGCTATGGTCATCTTTTTAATATTAGCAGTAATGGATTTTCGTAACGTTTCGGAATTACAACTCAGCGGTCAGGGAATCGTTTCCTTTATCACCGCGTCCATTCCGAAACTTGTGCTTGGCTTTATCAACACGGAACTCGACAAAGACGCTCTTAAGCGTAGTTGGGAGATTACTGTCCGTAAAACTGTCGAAAAATATATAAAAGACAACGAGATTCCCGACCAAACTGGTGTAGAGTAATATAAGACGTATATTGGTTTCTTTGTTTTTAGGCAATACGCATATCATATCCAATCTTTGTCTTGTGCAAGATTGTGAAGAATAACCAATGGATTGTCATTAAGTTTGTTATTTGTAAGTTAATACTCGCCGTCACAGGGCAGAAATGAGATAACTATCTGTGAACATCCAGTGAAAAACATTTCTTTAGTAGTCCTGCTATAAAGGGTTGTATACAGCCAAGTATCTTGTTAGGGTTTGGAATCTAGGAAGCGGGGATTTTTCAAACATTATTTTCCTCTTTCTGTCCTCAACATATTCCTGATGCATTAATTATATAATATTTTAAAACTGTATATCATTTATGTATAAGCGGCGTTATTGTATGCTTACACTATAATTAATGTTTATTATTTATTTATTTATTTATTTATTTATTTATTTATTTATTTATTTATTTTTTGTATATACTATATTCATTTATATTCATTCATGAAAAGAAATTCAATTTTTCCTCCGTTAATCATCTTATCATCACAAGTAGTATACTACCTGTACTTCAAGTAAACGGTGGGTTGGTTAACAATTTTTGCACAAATAAAGGTGCTTGATATTGTTATGACATTGATTCAAGCGTACGCTTTGTTTATACAAAGGATGAGAGGCAGCAAAGAACTACCATGTTAACAAAAGTGTACTCCATTTATGAATATTTTCTGTAAATACGTGTGCAGAGTTACTGAATAATACTGTTTGTAGTTGGCTGATAATAAGTAATCTGCTGTGTTGTTTTTATGCTTGTGAAGCACAATATTTCACAGATTTAAACAAATATAAATTTAATGTTATTACTTATTCATATAAAACAGGTTAATAGAGAAAAGAAAGGAATAAGAAGGAGGGGGAGATACATGTACCATAAATTATCAGTACAATATAAAATAGATCTAACCATAATATCAAGTTACTTTTTCTCATTTTGTTTATCTTATTTCAGTATGAACACCTTTTTATTTAAGTTCATTGGACTAAATTACTTCGCCCCCCCCCCTCCTCCCCCGGTCAGTTATTGTATGACTATCCTGGATATCTGTACTGTGACCTTCTTCCGAGAAGAGGGGCTTAGCTTGCTTTCTATCAATAAAAGGGGCTGCCCAGACCTATTAATCATTACCGTCTTCCAAGAAAAGGAGCGTACATAGACCTATCAACCATTAATAAAAACATCATTCAGTACATTCTTAATCATGTCGGTTCAATAAACAATTCGGATTTTCTAATTTAAAAATCAAATTATATAGATATTGATGAAGAGAAATTAAATTTTTCCTCCGTTAATCATCTTAACATCGACAAGAAGTATACTACCTGTACTTCAAGGAAACGGTGGGTCGGTCGACAATTTTTGTACAAATAAAGGTGTTTGATATTGTTATGACATTGATTGAAACGTACGCTTTGTTTATACAAGGGGTCAGAGGCAGCAATGAAGTACCATGTTTACAAAAGTGTACTCCATTTATGAATATTTTCTGTAAATACGTGTGCAGTGTTACTGAATAATACTATTTGTACTTGGCTGATGATAAGTAATCTGTTATGTTGTTTTAATGCTTGTGAAGCGCGTTATTTCACGAATTTAAACAAATATAAATTTAATGTTATTAATTATCCATGTAAAACAGTATAAAAGTGAAAAGAATGGAATAAAAAGGAGGGGGAGATACCACAAATTATCAGTACAATGTAAAATAGATCTAACCATAATATCAAGTCTCTTTTTCTCATTTTGTTTATCTTATTTCAGTATGAACACCTTTTTTATTTAAGTTCATTGGACTATATTACTTCGCCCCCCCCCAATCTCCTCCCCCGGTCAGTTATTGTATGACTATCCTGGATATCTGTACTGTGACCTTCTTCCGAGAAGAGGGGCTTAGCTTGGTTTCAATCAAGAAAAGGGGCTGCCCAGACCTATTAATCATTAACGTCTTCCAAGGAAAGGAGCGTACATAGAATAGACCTATTAATCATTAATGCAAACATTAATCGGTACATTCTTTTTTTTTTTTTTTTTTTTTTTTTTTTTTTATTGAAAAATTTCAGTATAAGAAATTACATATACCCAAGTATGGTAAATGTACACTGCACACTCACTCTCTCTCTTACACACACTCTCTCTCTCTCACACACACGAATATAAGTTTATAATCTCATGAACAATAGGTGTAATAATAATAATAATAATAATAATAATAATAATAATAATAATAATAAAGAT